CTGGATGTGAGGCTGCTGCAATGTGGCTCCTTTGGCTCAAGCACCACTTGTCCATTAACGTTTGGACCTTGCTGCTCTTGGGGAGCACCTGGCTACCGCTGGCGGAAGGCAGCCCCAAGTCTCCTTTTAGGACTTTCCCGGTTTCAGACTGGAGCTTGACGCACTTGGTGGTCCACAACAAAACCGGGGAGGTGTATGTGGGGGCTGTCAATCGGATCTACAAGCTCTCCAATAACCTCACGCTACTGCGGACCCACGTGACGGGGCCCGTGGAGGACAATGAGAAGTGCTACCCTCCACCCAGCGTTCAGTCCTGCCCGCACGGGCTGGTCACCACCAACAACGTGAACAAACTGCTGCTGGTGGACTACTCGGGGAACCGTCTGATCGCCTGTGGCAGCGCCTCCCAGGGCATTTGCCAGTTCCTGCGGCTGGACGACCTCTTCAAGTTGGGGGAGCCCCACCATCGCAAGGAGCACTACCTCTCCAGCGTCAATGAATCGGGCACCATGTCTGGGGTCATCATTGAGGTGCTGAACGGGCAGAACAAGCTTTTCATTGGGACGCCCATTGATGGGAAGTCGGAGTACTTCCCCACTCTCTCTAGCCGAAAGCTGATGGCCAACGAGGAGAATGCAGAGATGTTTGGCTTTGTCTACCAGGACGAGTTTGTCTCCTCCCAGCTTAAGATCCCCTCGGATACACTCTCTAAGTTTCCCACCTTTGACATCTACTACATCTACAGCTTCAGCAGCGAGCAGTTTGTTTACTACCTGACCCTGCAGCTGGACACCCAGCTCACCTCACCTGACTCCACCGGGGAGCAGTTTTTCACCTCCAAGATCGTCCGCCTCTGTGTGGACGACCCCAAGTTCTACTCCTACGTGGAGTTCCCCATCGGCTGTGTGCAGGATGGCATCGAGTACCGCCTGATCCAGGACGCCTACCTGACAAAGCCTGGCAAGGCTTTGGCCAAGTACCTGGGCATCTCAGAGCAGGAGGATATCCTCTTCACCATCTTCTCCCAGGGCCAGAAAAACAGGGTTAAGCCTCCCAAGGAGTCTGTGCTCTGCCTCTTCACGTTGAAGAAGATCAAGGATAAGATCAAGGAGCGTATCCAGTCATGCTACAGAGGGGAAGGGAAGCTCTCGTTGCCCTGGCTCTTGAATAAGGAGCTGGGCTGCATCAACTCGGTAAGTTCTCACTTGACTCTACCCAAGCCAGGCTGCTTCTGACTCCTGACAGTGCTCTCTGGCCAGACCCTTCCCAGTGATCTGACCTGAGCCATGTTTTCCTGGTGGGAGGATTGGTGCCGTTAGGACTGGGCACTCTGCTTGCTCTGTAGCATTCCTCATGGACATCACGGCTTCATTATGGTCTGGCCATCTGGGTTTGGGTTGGTGCCCATGGAGAGCGCCAAGCAAGGGGCTGCATGCAGATTCTAGTGCCTACTTCTGGTGACCCTGCCCCATGGATTTGAGAAGCGTTGGTGAGTTGGGCTGGGAGGGGGCAGGATGCTCAGTCCTTGGGGCATCTGCTGCAGCTCCGCTGGAGAGTCCCTCGCAGATGGCATACGTGAATTTTCTAGTGTCATGTTGCCTGGGGCTCGGCAGTGGTGGCTGTGGGGGACGGGAAGCGCAGACCTGCGGAGTGAGGCAGGGAAGCTGTGGGTCTGGAAGAAGCTGGTTAGATTGGTTAGATGCTCAGTGTGGAGGGACCACGTCTTTTCCATGGGATGTTGGAGAAGAGGACAGGGAGCACGAAATGCTGTCATGGAGGAGGATTTTGAGCACGGCCAATGCAAACTGTCCCAGAGCAGCGATACCTGACTGAGGGAAGGCTCCTCTCTGTCCTCAGAGACATGCCCTCCTGCCTGGTGCTCACATGGCCATGTCTGGCCCCTGCTTTTGGCTCAGCTGCTCTGTGTGGGGCTTAGGTGTGATAGGAAGTGGGGAACCTCTGCCCACCTGGCGCTCTGGGTTTGTTTTCTGGCTGGACTGTTACTGTTGCTGGATTTTTTTCCAGGCAACATTATAAACCACGAGCAGTCTCAGGGAGGTTGTGGCTCTGGGTGATGGGGAGGTCTTACACTGAGTATCTCCAAGCTGGGCTGGGCAGTTCTCAGGCAGGGTCAGATGCCTGGCAGAGAGGGGTTTTGAGGTGCCAGTGTGTACATTTAGGAGGTTCTGGTGGAGGTCCTGACACCTCTGCTATTGTGCACCTCACCCCAGCCCCACTTGTTGGTGCTCAGTACCGATCACTGAGCCCTCAGCCCTGCCTAGGCAGAGGCTTGGGTGCCTGGTGGTGCTGGCAGGTGGGTGGGAGGTGTCCCTGTGGAGCAGCCCTGTGTTCCCTTCCCACCGTCCTCCCCGCAGCTCTGGAGGAGACAGCTAACAGCTGCCTGACAAAGTAAAGGGTTTGCTGTCAAGAGCGCTGGGCTCGCAAATCAGATTTTGGCTTTGAACTAATTCAATTTTGCTGGAAAATGATGAAATCGTTACACTGCTGCCTGTTGGGTCGCGCAGCTGCTGGCTCTGACGGCAGAGATGCTCGCTGCTTCCTCCTGCACTCCCAGCTCGCCGCTTCCGGCACCCCACGGCAGCTCCGTGGCCCCAGGGTTTGAGGAGGGGGCTCTGCCCTTCTGCACTTTGGGAGTGGTTTCATGCTAGAAGGGTCCCGAGATTGCTACGTGGTGGCTAGCCTGTGTGAGTAGGTGGATCTCAAGGTGCTCCTTGGGTCATGCAGACATGGCTGTTGCAGGGTGGCAGGATGCGTGCCACAGCGGGGTGGCTCATGCTTTTGAATGGGTTGGGATAGGTTGAGGGGTGCTGCCCTCCCCTAGGGGAGCCAGATGGTGTTTTCTGGCCGTGTCCTGCTCCACCTGCCAAGCAGATCTGGGAAAGGTGTGACTGGATCATGAGTCAAGCCCTCAGCCCCTCCTGCGCTGAGTGCAAGCCAAACCAGGCCCCATGGAGCATGTAACCTTGTTCTGGCAGGAATTTATGTGCCCCTAATAAAATGCAGCCATCTCTGAGGTGGGTCATGGCAATGATGGGTCCTACATTAGCAAGGGCTGGCCAGAAAATAAAGGGCATGTTTTTTTTATTTTTAAGTAGGCAGAATGTAATTGCTTAAGTTAGTAGTTGCTTGGGATTTACACCTTGTACGTAAGGAAGATGTCCCAGGTGCTCTCTTGCTCCGCTCCTTCATGGTGGCAAGGGACTGAGTCTGGTCCTTGCTGGAGGAGGCTTTGCCGACACCCTGCTCCCAGACCTGGAGCAATCTGGGGCCAAGGGATGCTCATCCCCCAGCGCTGCAGGGCAGCTCTGCTTCTCTGGAGCTGGAGCCAGAAGGAGAGGCCGCCAAGCTTGGCAGCCAGCTCAGGAGATGTTAGTGGTTCCTCCCCAGCCCTGGCAAGCTGTTTCTGTCGCCTCTTTCTCTCTCCCTCCTTCTGGAGTCCAGTGATCTGGCAGCGGGAAAGCTAGTGGAGCCACCCATTCCCCTGCGCCAGCCCTGCTGCCTAAATTGTTCCTGAACCTCTCCAGAGGTTTCGCTGCTTGTGATGTTTCACTGAAGAGGCGTTTGCTGTTGCATAGATTGGCTTTTTGCTCTCCCTCGGCAGTGCAGGGACTGGAGGTTTGTGCACATCCTCTCACCAGCGCACCTGTCCCCAGAACAGGGGGACAAAGATCTGATGTAGCAGGGCTGGGAAAGGGCAGCCAGTGTGAGCTGGAGCCGAGATATTGGGGCAGTGAATGATTCGAGGTTCCCAGAGTCCTTGACCCCCCGGGCTGGCAGCTCAGACAGAGCCAGCAGGATGTGGGCAGCAGCTTTCCCTGGACTCCCCAAGGGAGAAAATGAGTTTGGCATCCTTGGTGGGGCTTGCTGCCCAGCCTGCTGGCACAGGGTGATGGCTGGTGACAACTGGCCCAAAGTGGGCTAGGTTAAGCCAAATTGTTCCCTGGGGGCAGGCAGAGAAATGCAGGTGTTAACGAACCATACCACTCTGGGATTATTCCTGGGCAGTGATTAATGTGCAAAAAGCCTGGCAGCCCAGCCTGGCACTTGGTACCTGCCTCCTGCAACCTCCTCCCTGGCTCTTCATGTCCCCTGCATCCTCCATTGCAGCCCCTGGAGCAGCAGGGAGGCACAGGGGAATGGAGTGAGCCTGTGATGGTGTTAACTGGCGAATTACTGGCTAATTAATAACACTGAGTGGTGTGAGCCTCATCTCTGCTGTCTGCTCCCTCATTGCTTTTGTAAGTGGGCTTGAAGGGAGGCAATGAGACAAGGCATGTCAAGGAGACACCTGCTCTCTCGGTGCTGTGGGCCACCTTTCCCCACTCCTGCAAGCTGCTTCCCTTGGGAAATCAGAGTTTCGTTACCCCATTTTGGGGAGGCGGGTTATGCTGGCAGAGAGGAGAAGGCTGCTGCGCTGCAGAGGTGGGTGCCTGGAATGTCTGGGGGCCGGGGGCAGCTGAGAGGGGTGCCCAAGGGAAAGCCTTGAAATAAAAAGAACCCAAAAAATAAAAATTAAAACAAATTACAGAAAAACCCCAAGACCAACTGCTTTGGAATGGGTGGAGGTCACAGTCCCAGCAAACACCCATGCAAATGGGAGAGCAAGCAGAGCTCAATGCCTCCCGTGGATCCCAGCATCTGCAAGCTGAAGCGCTGCAAGGTCACTGGCCCTCGCGTGCCGTGGTGCGTGTCGGTCCCTGCTGGCACCGGCTGGGTGACAGCTGTCCTGTTGTCCTTCCATCCCTCCATCCCTCCTTGCATTCGGCAGGGGTGCAGGTTGGTGCCGTAACCCCGATACTGCCGCCCTTGGCCCAACCTCGCCGAGCTGCCTGCCTGCGCTTCCCTAACGAGGCAGTTTGCTGTTAATGAGCTAATTGTCGACATAATTATTTATTGAGGTGGTGTCGGCATCGCGGCGGTGGCGGTGGGCGCTCCTCGAGGTCCCGGAGCGCAGCTGTATTTGTCGTTTCCCAGAGAGTTTGTTGAGACAAAGCAGAGAGGAATAAACACGATAAACATATCTCCTCTTGCATATTCAGCAGCCGAGGGGTTGAGGAAGCTGCAGATTGAGTTTAGAGAGCACAGAAACTGCTCCTAGGGGTTGTTGAGGCTTAAATACCTTCATGGCATTGCCCTTAACCCCTCTGCTCCTGCTGGAGGCTGGGTGGAAGGTGCTGGGATGCTTTCCCCGGGCAGAGCGCCTGTTGGGGCTGGAGAGTGTTTTTTCCCAGCAAAGTGCCTGAAGGATCCCAGATATCCGGACGGGAGCTGGGTATCGACTGGAGCATCACTCTTGTCTCACTCCATGGTTGGGAAGGTAATTTTCTTGCATCTGCTGTTTTAAAATGTCTAGCCTGGGGATGCAGAGGAGGGTGCTTAGTGTCTCATGGGTAGGAGAGGGTGCTTGCAAGGCTAGGATTCAGAGGATGCGTGCAGAGGTCCTAATTACATTTCTTCCTTTTTCCTGTGGTGCAGAGGCCCGTGGTGCCCCACATTCCTGTTTCGGGGATGCCTGCATCTCTCACACCTGGCTGTAGGGGTTCCCCCAGTTTAGGGCAGGACAAGTAAAGGTCAGGCAGGGAAGGAAGTCCGTCTTTGGCTGAATTCTAATTCAGGCTCCCAGCAAAAACAGAAATTAATTGAGGAAGCAACCCAACATCCCCAAACTGTCTGGGGACGCTCAACATGACTGGCTGGGACCATCTCTGTCCTCCATGCGGGAAGGCTGGCACGGTGCTGAGTCCCGGCTGCAGCCGGGAGCGAGGCCGCTGACCTTGGGACGAGGAGGATGAGCAGCTTCACTGTGGCTGTGTGAGGCTGAAGCTGTTGTGATTGTGAGTGTGTTGCGCCAGAGCACAGGAAAGAGCTGTGTTTTCCCTGCTCTTCATGGCTGACTGCAGGTGGGAGCTGGTCCAGGCTGACCCTCGCTTCCTGGGCAGCGGTGAGTGGGAGCTGCTGAGCTCTGTACTGCCCTGGTGTTCGTGGAGCTCGGTGTTTTCCCACATGCTCTGTGCACATGCTGTATGGATTTAAAACCCCTTGGGGACTGGCATGCATTTGGAGGCTGCTGCTTGCCAAAAAAACCTCTCTCCCCTTTGAATTCAAAGTTACATAAGGAACCTTGTGAAGCAGAAAAATCCCATGGCTGGAGCAGACTGTCTCCCCATCGGCTGCGTCTGTGCTGCCCTAACCTCCTGCACGCCAGCTCGCTGCCGACCCTGGAGATTTTGCTGGAGCCCCTTGCTGCCTGGGATGGACCAGGGGCTGCTGGGGGTCAATTTTGCCAGTGCAAGGCAAATCCTGACCATGTGAGGCCACTGCCTAGTGTGGGATCTCCAGCTGGCCTATGTGTCCCCCAGGCTGGATACTTGTGGCCAGTCTGTTGTTCTGCTCAGCAGGTCAGGGTGATGTGGTGAGGATGCTCGAAGAGAGGGGCCAGTCCTACAGAGTTTGTCTTGGTCCCACTTCCCTGCCTGCAACCCAGCTTTCACAGAGGATGTCCCTCTGGCTTTTACCTTGCCCATCAGCGTGACTGTCCTCGATGGAGGTCCCCAAGAGCAGAGACGAGCCGGTGTAGCCCTGCCTCTGCCTCTCTCCAGGAGAGCTTGCAAAAGCTTTTCCCAGACCTGTGGGCGAGCGCTGAGCAGAGGAGGCAGCTGGCTGAGCCAGGCGCCTTGTCTGGGACAAGGCAGCACGAAAAAAATGTGGGGATTTCCCAGAGACATTCCTGCGGGAGGAGGAACAGGGCTGGCAGGTGGAGGCTCTGCTATATGAAGTGAGGCTCTTTGAGGAGACCTGTCCCGTTTGTCTTGGCACAACCTTAGCTGGGAAATATTTTTTTCTCTGGGGGAAGACTGGGGTGCAGGTTCCCACCTGCCGTACTGCCAAGCTGTTTTCTTTTTGAACCTAGCGCCAGGGCGAAAAGGAGAGAGGGGTGTGTGTGTGTGCTGGGGAGCTTGTGCCGGCATCCCACATGTGTGAGATGACAGTGGCGGGGAGCGAGGGGGATCAGGGATGCTGCGCTGGCTCCCACTGAGTTTGTAAGTGCTGCTCTGTAAGATGCAGAGGACTTTGGAGTCTTGGTCTGCAGAGCTTGTTCAGATGCAGAGAGGGGCTGCATGCCTTGGATGTGTCTCAAGTGTCTTAGATCAATGTGTAGGGTATTTTAGGGAGGCATCAGCTCATCCCTTCTCTCAGATGGTGAGGAGATGGCTGAGACAGGAGGAGCAAGGGAGGGGGCCGCTGTAGGTGATGGGGTGAAGGTGAAAGATGACTGATGACCATCTGAGAAGACTGGCATTAGCAAAAATCTCATTTCTCTCTGTTTTTTTCCAACAGCCGCTGCAGATCGATGACAATTTCTGTGGCCAGGATTTTAACCAGCCACTGGGTGGGACTGTGACCATCGAGGGGACCCCTCTCTTTGTGGATAAGGAGGATGGGATGACCTCAGTGGCTGCCTATGACTACAGAGGACAAACCGTTGTCTTTGCAGGCACGCGGAGCGGGAAGATCAAAAAGGTAGGAAAGCCCTCAGTGATGCTGATGGGGGGGGATGACCACTCACTTTGGCCCTCTTGGGGGTACAGGTAGGGCTGTGCCTCTGTCATAACATGACTTGATATATTGGCTAATGTGTAAAGGGCCAGTGAGGGACTGTTTCCTCTTGCTTCTTTCTGCCAACTGAATTTACGAAGCCTCTGTCATTTGGAAGGGTTATAACCGAGGGAAGTCGAGTCCTGGCTGCTGGTGGATAGGAGCCCATCCTGTTGTGTCTCAGGGCAGGTGGGTTTGCCCTGTAGGTGCCATAGGGTAGACTCTGTCTGTCCTGGTCCATATGGCTTTGCTCCATTGACCTGGGCAGGGTGGGTGGAAGTGGGTGCAGCACGGGGGCAGACTTCTTCCCGTACCCCACCATGGCACAAAAGGTTGCTTGTTGGTGGCAATTAGCACATAGCTCTGTGTGTGCCTTTCTCTGCCTGCATCTCCACAGGGCATGGATTTCCTGTTATCATAACATCATACATGTAATTATGGCAGTACATGCCCTGTATAGACATGGCTTGCATTAACTGCATCCTCAGACAGGGAAAGGCGGTGAAAAGGTCTTAGTATGTTCCCTTCCAGGGAAAGGAGGACAGTGGCTTGGCCAGGGGGTCCAGTGCATTGCTCTGTGGCTTCTGAGGTACTCCAGCACCCACTTCTTGGCACAGCATCTTGCATTTTTGCTGCTTTTCCTGATCTGTGCTGGTCAGGGTGCCCTGGAGAAAGCAGGAGTCAGGAGCAGGGTGCTGTTGTAGGCGATAGTCCCCGTACGTCCTGCTCTCCCTGCCTGCATTCCCCCTGGACCTCTGACCCACCTGTGGCACTGCCTGTTAGCAGCGTGTTTGGTGCCTCTGGGGCATGTGGGCAGCATGTGTTGGGGTGAGGACCAAGATGCTGGTGCTTTGTTCCAGCCCCACATCCCCTACTTGGCTTTCTGTGGTCCTCAGGGTGGCGGGGAGAGTGGGCACGTTGGCGCCAGAGCTGAGCAGGGCTGTGGGGAGCTGACGGAGGCAGCTCGTCCTCCTTTCCGGATCGATGAGGGATCCGGAGGGAATGGAGTTGCTTTGCTGGCAGCTTCTGCTGCTGGGCTCCAGATGGGGGGGTTTTAAATGGGGGTGAGAAGGAAGGAGGGCTCACAAAGCCACGAGGACAGTGTTACATCTCTAGTTCCTTATTTATCTAGAGATGCAATTGCTTTTTATGTGGCAAGATTTTTTTTTTCTCTTCCTCCTTTTTTTGTTTTTTTTTTCTCTGGTCTTTACATCTTCAGAACCGCTTGTAAGCTGTGAGCTAGGGTGGGTGCCTGGCCAGGTGTGGGCTGCATACTACAGAGTCGTGGCTGAGGCCAGGACTTGGACCCCAGGTGTGTTTTAAGCGTCCTCCTCTCCTGCAGGGCTTTCTCCAGCTTTCTTTTTGCCGATTTCTGTACTTGATACCCCAAAGAACTGATCTGGCTTTCTGGCCCTACAGGATGAAAGGACACGGAGCAGAAGCTCCACAGAGAGCGAAGAGGTGGGTCTTGGTGCTGTCCCGGCACTGGGACAGCAGGCAGATTTTGGTGGCTCTGGCCTGCCTGGAGCCCCCAGAACCCCTGGGTCACTGAGCTCTCTGATGGCAGAGTGTGAGCGCTTTGCAGGCTCCAAGCCCTGCACCTCCGGGTCCTTGCCTCGTCCCCTGCGGTGACCTTGGGGTGGGCAGCCCAGCCTTTCTGTGGCAGGGGGGGCGCGCGCAGGCCGGC